TTTAAATATATAGGCTTCGTATTCAGGCTATAGGCTTAGTACTCATAGAAATCAAGGAGGTCTAAGAAAGTAAACGGAATGAAGTGCGGATCTGTGTCTTTGAGATCTTGTTTTTTTTTGTAAATTAACTCTATTGTATCACCTTTTATTAAGATCCTTTTTTACTTTTAATAAAGTCCTTCTTATTAATAGTATTTTTTCTCTCTGTGTGCTGTAACGTTCGACTCGTCGTCGTTCAAAGTGATTGCCACCCCATTAAAAAAACGGCTGCGCCTTCTAGTTGCTGCAGCCGTTGTTATTGTTGCAGCCTTGGCTCCTGCCACGATCACTCAATAAGTCTAGACAAAATGTACCTGGTACCTGTGATTGTCGCTCTTTCATGGCGAAATGAGGGGGGATAGCTGCCGTAATGGATCAGCACGTTGCCAGGTCCGTTGAGTTCATTTCAGATGAGTTGAGCTGCCTGCCTGCCTGCCAGCCTGTTGCCTTTCAGCCGTCGTCTCTACGTCATCAGCCACAATAATAACAACAACAGAAACATCACAAATATGGAGGACAGGGGGCCACGAGGGTTCTGAGGGGGGACAACCCCCTTAATCGTGAAAAAAAGCCAGCAACCATCATATTTGTTGCATGATTATGTGGTAATTGCGGCTGTCAATAAAACTCCCCCGTTTTATTCTTTACAACCGACAGCATTCTACGCCTAAATTTCCCATATGAATCTGCATACACTGATCAAAAAATGGTACCAGATTCAAAAATTGTTTCCTTAATAAAGTATTTTAAGACTTAAAGAATATTTTAAGACATATTTTTCTAGAAGAACTCTATTCTCTGTACTCTAGAACTCTATTCAAGCTCTTATATCAAGACAAGAATTAAGTTTTCCCATTTTATAAATATTAATCCTAAAAAAACCCTAGCCCTTTTTCTCCACTGCATCTGAATATCCAGAACGATGGGCTCACGATGGGTTCCGTTCCCGACTATGATTTAGTTTGACAAAGGAGTGACATCCAAGTACTTAAGTGATTTCTTTACACCTTTTATGGAGTAGTTAATGCGGTATGAGCACAATATTCACATTGAGCCAAGTCATCTTGCCGGGTGCCCTGCCCCCTCCCTTGACTCGGCAGCTCCTGCCTCTGCCCCTGTTCCGCTGCCGCTCCAAACCCTTGAACCCTAAACCACCGATACACTCTATCCCGATTCATGGCACCCACCAAACCACAAAACCCATTCGATGGCCAAGCACTTAGCGGCGTTTAGGTTGTGGCTTTTGTCTGGCCCTTTTTATTTTTATATTTTTTTATCATGGGAAACTATACAAAAGTTCTCAAACCTTTACTCCTGTTTTAAAATCACTTCGTGGTTTTCTGTAGCATATAGACCAGTATTTAAAATGCTAGAACTTTGAGAATCCAATGCATGTTGGCAAAGTCAGGGTTCCGATTTTTCAATTTAAAGGTTAATAATATCAATAAAATAATTTGTTTCTACGGAGTTTGTTTCTATGGAGAATCGATCTAGAAATCGTTTGAGGTATTCCTTTCAAGAATCGGATAAAAATTGGCCAAGATATTGACATTCCTGGGGTCCATATTGGGTTTCTATGCATTTCCTCCAATTCCGGTAGGGACTCCCCAGAAAATTTGACAAAAAATCTAAAAATTATTTTGTTTCTAGGTTTTGATGCAATTTAATAGATAATCGATCTAGAAATCGTTTGAGGTATTCCTCTCAAGAATCGGATAAAAATTGGCCAAGATATTGACATTCCTGGGGTCCATATTGGGTTTCTATGCATTTCCTCCAACTCCGGTAGGGACTCCCCAGAAAATTTGACAAAAAATCTAAAAATTATTTTGTTTCTAGATTTTGATGCAGTTGAATAGATAATCGATCTAGAAATCGTTTGAGGTATTCCTTTCAAGAATCGGATAAAAATTGGCCAATATATTGACATTCCTGGGGTCCATATTGGGTTTCTATGCATTTCCTCCAATTCCGGTAGGGACTCCCCAGAAAATTTGACAAAAAATCTAAAAATTATTTTGTTTCTAGATTTTGATGCAGTTTAATAGATAATCGATCTAGAAATCGTTTGAGGTATTCCTTTCAAGAATCGGATAAAAATTGGCCAAGATATTGACATTCCTGGGGGCCATATTGGGTTTCTATGCATTTCCTCCAATTCCGGTAGGGACTCCCCAGAAAATTTGACAAAAAATCTAAAAATTATTTTGTTTCTAGGTTTTGATGCAATTTAATAGATAATCGATCTAGAAATCGTTTGAGGTATTCCTCTCAAGAATCGGATAAAAATTGGCCAAGATATTGACATTCCTGGGGGCCATATTGGGTTTCTATGCATTTCCTCCAATTCCGGTAGGGACTCCCCAAAAAAATTGACAAAAAATCTAAAAATTATTTTGTTTCTAGATTTTGATGCAGTTTGATGGAGAATTGATCTAGAAATAGATTGAGGTATTCCGCTCAAGAATCGGATCAAAGTTGGCCAAGATATTGACATTCCTGGGGGCCATATTGTGTTTCCATGCATTTATTCAACAGTTGAAAGCGACCCTCCAAAATTATAACTAAATATAATTTTATCGCCCAATACTTATTATTCTATATGTAATTGAAGCTTGCATATCCAATTTGGATACATAATTGCTTTAATGCAAACAGTTTAGGGGCAATCAAAATGCCGCAGCCCATAAATCTCACGAATCATGCTTTGATAACTTTGTTTGCCTGGCTGGCTAACAATTTCCGTTCCATTTGTGCAACTGTTAACCCAATTGGAGACCCCCGGGCCAGTCGGTTAAGTCAGTGGGCGTGTTATGCTTGTTAGATTGCAGCAATTGCATTCAAAAGTGAGCTACGAGGTGCGAGTAGGAACTTACGGATGGAGTTTTCAACGCTTCATCGCCAGTTATCGGGCCATGCCCCAATCCAGTTCGAGCGTTTAGTCTCCGTCTGCTTCTTGGTGTTAAATATTGAGAGGTAGAGGCGCAGGCATCGGCATACCCCTTCCTTTCCAGGCCATGCACAGCCACAAATCCATCTGGGAGTTCCACCGCAGTGGATACATTCATGGCGCGTTGGTGTCGGATCTGCCATGTGCTGATGCTGCGATGTTGTAGGTGCGGAAAGTGGTCCACACGAGATTAGGGTGTAGCTATCAAGTCGTCTTGCTGTTCCGCCTGTGCCGCCTGCGACTCCCCGGCGAGTGGGTAGCAAATAAAAGCGCCAAAACACTTAATGCATTTGGAGCAGATACTGATACACTGAACAGGAAAAGGTGGTAAGTATTTTTAAGACAAGTAAATTATAAAATATAGGGGTACTATTTTTTTTATCAGTGCAGCCCCGGTTACAGATAGCCCGTAAATGGAGCTTAAAGTCTAAGATTGGTAGCCTGGGTGCGTCTTCCTCATCATCGTCTTCGTCATCAGTGAGGTGAGCTTGTTAGCAAAAAACACATACAACAGAAAAACGGTCGCTGCTGGGTGTTGGCCAATCTTTAAAGATCAAACAATAAACTTAAAGATCTGCTGGCTCCTCTCTCCCAGCACTCACTCCCTTTCGCGCCTTCGACATGCAAATTGTGCAGCCGAAGAAGTGTCAAACAATGTCAGTGGGAGAATGTGTCTCGCAATTGAAATTTATTTGCACTACAATTCACTGCTGACAATGCGAGGAGGCATTGGGATGTACTACCTTACTTTACCTGCTTTCCCTTCCCCTCTCTAGACCCGTTCCCCCATCCGCCCCTCCACCGAAGAGACCCTCTGCCCAAAAGTCACAGTCGAAGCTAGCGATCTCTAACCCGTCAACTCGTCAAGCTGTGAGCGTCAATCCACAACAAAGTCAACGGCGAAGACGTCGGCCAAGCCTGCCTTACACTGGGAGTATTTTTTGTTAAGGTTTTTAGACCATAAAACTAGGTCATGGTATGGATATTATTACTCCAATTGAAGCTTTCAAAAACGACTCTCTTTGGCTCAAAAATGTTGATGTCCTTTGAATTCTTTAGAGAACATTCTTTTATCCATCGATTCATAGTTCTTTTCTTAACTTGCTCTATAAAGTACTTTTTCTTTATCATTTTACTGCTTCAATTTTGAATCAGTGCTTGAAATTTTCTTTCAGTGATTGATTGAAACGAAACCTCATTCATGAGCCCAGAGCCCAGAAGGCATCGGCATCGTTTTGTCGCTCGAATCGCTCACAGCTTCTGTGCTGCGATTTTGCCAATTGGCAATTGCCTCCTCCGGGGCCGTGGATTCGCCGAGCCACCGATCCACCAAGCCGCCGAGTCGAGTGCTGTGAGGAGCATTTGCAAAATGTCAATCTGGTGCTGTGCATCAATTCAAGTGTGAAATAAATAGAAACGGATTCAGGTCCCAAAGTCTAGCATTTTGCTATAATTTTCGCGCCATTTGCTGTCGACTTTGCCTGTCTGTCCGTCAGTCTGTCCGTTTGTCCGTCTGTCTATCTGACAGACAACGTTTCGGAGAAAAAAAAAAAGAGAAGCATCTGAGCTCAAACCCGAAGCCGGGCGAAATATGTTGAAAGTATTTACAATTACGCAAAGATTGATTGAAATAGATTTCGGATTGATTGGCTGCTGGTATGCACATCGAGAGGAGTTCTTTCATGGCCTCCTGGCATTGTGGGAACTGCAGGTTGTTGTCGTCGTTTTGTGCCGATTGTGTGAAAGGGGTTAAGGAGGTTATAGAAGCTGGTTCAGGCTAAGACTTGCGACTTGAGACTCCTGGCTGGGATAATTTCTAATTAAGCTGCTCGGCGCTCCGAGTGCACGAGGAGAGATACATTTTATGCGACACATTTATCCAGCAGATGCTTTTTATTGATTGCCATCTGGGCATCGGGCGAAGCTGCACCGCAGGAGTCTGAGAAATCAGCTTTCTCCGGCTATCCAGATTCGTGGATTGTCGACCGTACCAAACCCAATCAATAAAATAAACTCTTGTTCATCTAAATATTTATTTGTATTTATTTGTGGTGATAGCAATAATAATTTTCTCGATCATCAATTCGACTGATTTGCATACCAAATCATCACACGAAAAGGAAAATACTTATGCAACATTAATATTAATAATTTATGCTATTTGCTATACAACTTTGTGTGTGCTTTGCTTTTCTACATGGTATTATACTTTTAGATGTAAATCATTTTTAATTTGTAAATTTAAAAATTTGCTAATTGTGACTAAAAACTCGAGCGTACCTCAAAACGAGTAGAATTACACAAAAATTTGTCTATCGTATTAAATGTTTATTAAACTAACAAATACTCTTGGATGGGGGGGGACTGGAAATGTCTAAATAATAGCTAATCATTTACCTTTATACGTTATATATGGTTTATAGCTTAGAAGAAAACGAAACTTAAAAACTACAAATTCCACTACGATATTATTATGCATACACGATACAGATAAGCTGCCCTTTTTGCATATTTTGCTACAGTTTCTATTTTTTTTTTGTATTTATCATTTGTTTAGATTTTCAATTTTTTTTTTGTGGATTTTGATTTTTCTTTTTTAATTCTTGCCGCTTTTGTGTTCAGCGGGGCAACCGAAAAATTTGTTTATAATTCAGTGAATAAAATTATTCAAAACATAACATTTTTGTTTGTTATAGTTTTTGGGGTCTCCGCCGCCGAGTATGCAAATGGAGCGTTTCGGGGGCCGATCGACTTTTGCATATTTTGGCAATTTGGTTAGTTGTTTTAAACGATGTGATAACATCTAGCCAAAACGGCACGAACTCGTATTTAGCGCTTGTTAATCAGAGTCTGAAGCTGCTGCCCCCACGAGTCCATTTCATTTCTCGTATTATTTATATAACTCACATGCGTTTATTGTTTTCCCTACGTATACATATATTTTGTTTGTTTTTATTATGCTTGATATCTGTGTGTTTTTGGTGCTTTCCTAGCGGGGGATCATCGATCTTCAGTGTCTGATAACTCTGTCATTATTTGGAAATGGGGCTTGTGTGCTTAGACCTTTGTGGTCAGGTCCAGGGCCGTGGAGGTTGCCACCTTGACGGGAGCCTCCAGTCGCAGACGCTTACCGTTTTCACTGGACGCCTCTATTAGCTCGTCCAGCTTCCTTTTGATCGTCTCACTGGCCTCACTGTCGCTTAAGATGCTATTGTTATTATTATTGTTATTGTTGTTGTTGTTGCTGATACTGTTGTTGTTGTTGTTTTTCGAGGGTTTCTCAATGCTGGTCTTTACTGTCTCCGAAGTGCTGTTGTCCTCTTCCTGTGGCTCTTCTGGCTCGATATCTTCTCGTTCCTCATCATCATCCTCCTCCTCCTCAGTGGTCACCTTGAGGTCCTCCTCTTCTTCATCATCGTGGGGTGTATCTGGTACTTTTTCCCCATCACTGGAGATCTCTGGCTCCGGTTCGATGTCGGGGCTACTACTTTGGCTGCTCACCGAGCTGCCAGTGGTCTTCATGCTCAGATCAATGGGGTTGTCCTGCCCTGAACTGGAGTTCTCGTTGGAGCCTCTGACCTGAGCTTCCTGGCGGTGAGCAGGTGAGTGCGGCGGTGTCATGGAGACCACCAGATCCTCCTCCTCCTCATCGTGCTCGTCCTCCTCTCCGTCGACAATGTCCTCCACCCTGCCTCCTTCGCAATCGTCCTCTTCCACCTGACCGTTACTCTGTCTGCTTTTCACGCGCTCTCTGCCACTCTCGGAGTTCGGTGTGACCAGAGCGGAGATCGAGTAGTCCTGCTTGGAGTGAGGCGGCAGCTTGGTGGTTGCCACCGGAGGTGGTGGACTCTGTTGCTGCGATTTCAGAACGGCGTCCAGATAGAACCGCTTGGTGATCTCGTCGGCGGTGCCTCCATTGCTCAGTAGATGGTTGTTGTTGTTGGCGTGGTTGCTTGGACTCTTGGGTGGTGCGGAGTGATCATCCTCCTTGTGGTGGTGCTGGTGCTGGTTGTGGTTGGCAAAGGGGGATGCGCCGGGAGCGAATCGCTGGCCAGCGCCACTGGAGTTGAAGAGATGCTGCACCGCCGCGGCAGCCACAGCTGCCTGTTGTTGCTCCGGGGTGGGCTTCAGCAGACCCTGGTGGTGCGAGTACAAGGCGGGGTGGTAGCCGGGGAAGAGAAGGTGCGAGGGCGGCAGGAACGCGGGTGGTGGCATCACGGGCATGGAAGTTAGTCCGGGGAAAGGAAGCGGCAGGAAGGGCGCCAGGTCTTTGCGCAATTGTGGAGGCCTTCCCGGCACTGCACCGCCGCTCGACTGACTGCCATCGGCACCACCGGCAGGTCCTCCACCTCCGGATCCGGATTTTCCGCCAAGGTGCAGCAGTGGATTCCCTCGCACTGAACTTACCTCCACGGAACTGTCCGAGTTGTGGGAGTCGGGGGAACTTACGGAGGGCGAGGCCACCACAGGATGTTTTAGGGCCCCATACTCCCCGCTGCTCTCCAGTCCTAGCATCATTAGCTCCTCCTTGCTGCGCACTGCCCCTCCGGCAGTAGCCGCCGCATAGAGACCCGGATAGCCCCCGGCATGTCCCAGCATGCCCAGAGCCGCCGCCGCAGCTGCCGGTGGGGGAACACCCGGCATGCCCTTGACCCCGTTGGGAAGTCCCCCGCCTCCGCCTCCGCCACCGCCAGATCCTCCGGGAACTCCGCCACCTCCGCCCTGCTGGCTGTTGTGGTGCGCCGCCATCGCCGCCACCGCCTGCTGCTGTTGCTCCTGCAGGAGGCAGTGGATCTTGAACCAGTTGGAGCGCCTGCCGTAGCGGGAGCCGCTCTTGGACATCCCCACCATGAGGCACTTCTTCAGGCGGCAGGCCTTGCAGGCGGTGCGGTTCTTCTTGTTGATGATGCACTCGCCGTTGTTCTTGCAGTCCGAGATGGACGACAGGTTGTTGTACGAGCGACCGAAGAAGGACTACAAATAAAGGGAATATATGATTAATGAGTGGGTTATATGAGGGATAGGAGGGTCGATAAATAAAAGATAATACTAAGAGGGGTACATGGCGCCTTCGCAAGCGAACCATTCATTGTTTAAAGAAAACAAACCTCTTCAGCACCTTCCCTGTTTGATTCCAGCCCATGATGTCATTCAATAAAACGTTTTCAGTGCTCAACAATAATATCTCATTAAATTTTTGTGATGATTCATCAATTGTCTGTTGGGGACTGAGACCGAGACCTCTTTAAACGGTCTACCAAAAATCCAAAAAATAAAAGATTCCAAAAAAGCGACGAGGGAAGAAATAAACCAAATCGACATGCACAAGCGGCAACCACCTACACCTTCGGCACCACCGGGTATACGGCATTAACCGTTGGCTGGGGCACCACAATCAATTGCAACAAAGCAAACAAACAATTTAATTCAATGCGGAGGAGCCATGAAAAGCTGAGAGCCCAAAAAGCTGAGAAAGAAACCAAAAAAAAAAGCACAGACTGAGACCGGGACGCAGACGGACAGCAACATGTTGCTGCTGCAGTTGCTGCTGCTGATGCTGCATGTTGCAAAGGTTATGGCTGTGCAACACTTATGCCAAGTTGCAATGTTGGCAGTAAATCACCAACGCTTCACGGCCTGCCCGCCTGCCTGGCTTTGCAATCAACCAAAAGGGACAGACTGGCTAAATGACTGACTGAATGGATGCACTTGGAGAAAAATGTGGGTAAAGTTAAAGATAATTGCTATTTAAGAAAGAAAGTCTTTCTTCCCCCGTTCCAAGGACCCTCTTAAAATTAGATATGGAAAAATATTTCAGTAGATTTTCTACTTAGTTTTGGAAGTACTTTTCTGTGCCAAATCGTACTGATTTTTCTCCCAGTGCCACTGCCTGACTTTCAGTCTGTTTGTCAGCATTCAGAGACGTCGTTTTGTGATCGTAGGTGGAGCTTTTGAATGGAAGAAACACCGGTGCTGATGCTGACGACGAAGCGCAAAATTGAACTGAAGTCGAAACCGAAACAGAAAATACAAAAAAATAAAAAAAAGAAGCAGAAACAATGCGAAAATCCACTTTTAAGGTTAATTGGGCATCAAGATTACTGGGTCGGAAATGGAAATGGAAACGGAGGATTTCAGCCCCGTTCTGCTTCTTTTTTTGTGTCTTATTCGTTTTCAAGTTTTCAGTTTCGTTTCAAGAAGCGACCGAGTGACGGACACGCGGACAGACGGACAACTATTTACAAGCAATTTTGTGCATCGAGGCAGATTCACTTTTGTTTGTTTGTTTTCCAGCTTGGGCCTCCACTTCTTGTGGGCGTTAAATTAGCCAAGCGAGGCCCACGCCATTGCGAACGAGGCCCAAGCACAAATCAAATAACGCTGACCCACAAATTGTACGTTAGTTGACCTTTTCTCCTTGGCGTGGGCAAAAAAAAATAAACTAAACACAAATAGCGACAACGATAAATAAAAAAAAAAATAAAACTAAAGTCCCTCGACTGAACTCGAAATCGAAGCGAAACGAACAAAAAATGATCATCCCACCATTAAAGGAGCATTCGTATTTAAATCAATTATTTGTGGGGCGCTTTGTTTAACTTTGACCTTAGCCTGGGGCATCCATTTGTTGCCAGCAACTCCTGCTCCTCCACTCCCCTCTGCCACTTTTATGATGAACTCAACATTCCAGTTTGCCGGAGAGAATGGCCTCATAACTTTTTTTTTTCAGCTTAGTATTTGCCTCACGAAGGCGGTGAATTCGATTTATTGAAATCGATTGAAGCGATTGATACGAGAAACGCTGTGGCATTAAGGAATATCTAAGTTGGCGCAAGAGTTTGGGAAATATTAACTTCGTTTAAGCGAAGCAAGTGGGGCCTTAAATAACTAGTCTTTAAAATAATTAATCCTTATTTTCTAGAACTAAACTCACCTTACAACCCTCACATGTGAAGGCTCCAAAATGGAAACCAGCCGCCGGCTCTCCACACACCTTGCAAGTCTGATTCATCTGCAAATAAACAAGAACACAGAAGGCATGAGAATATGGTATTATATAAGTATTATATTAGATGACTTTATAATTTCTGTACAAAATTTACTCGGTTCTAGACTTATGTTTGTAATATAAAGTCATCTGTATATCTAAAGTCGTCTAAAGTCATCAAATCTACATCTATAAAGTTGATTTGTAAGAATTTATGTGGTTTGTTTGGCATTGGCAGCAGTGAGCCCATTTAAGGATAAGCTTGGCCTCAGATTTTGAATTTCGAATTTTAATGTTGACCATTTGCATTAGTATTTCGAACTATTTTTGTTGCTCTGAAAGATGTCATGTCACTCAATATCAGGCTCATACTGGAATGCAAGACGCAGGAATGAATCAGATATAAATGCTCGATGTACCTGTATTATTTCATCAGTAAGTTCATCAGCATTTTGTTGCTGGATTTGTTCTTCGGTTCTTTTGGATCTTCTATTTCGCATTTTTCGAGATCTAATTGTATCACGGCTCAAATTACACCCTTTGCGTTTTCTTGGCATTGCTCAAAAGACTTATAAATATAATTAAAGTATTTACTTAAAGATGAAGGTATTTTGCCCCAGTTTAAATTGAGTTAGAATGCTATGGTAGCGTGATTTGTTAGGAGGTAGGAACTCACTTTATATGCGATTTTTGGTGGATTCTCAGACCTACTCAATACGCTCACAAAAGCCGTTTCGGAGGAGTATTGTAACAAAAATTGTGATACGAAAATTGTATATATAAGATTTTAGAGATTCTCTAGCCCCTTAAGTTCAGTGCCAGTGCCTCCCCCTTTAATCCAGCAATGGCACCAGACTCCTAGACTTAAAACTAAGGCAATAAATTCATAAAATTTCAATTAAAAGCAACAGCAAATCATGACACGAGCATCTAGAGCTCTCCATCGCTGGCAAAACCCCCAGAGAGTCTGGGGAATAATCCAGTACCATTCCATTCCAATTGCAGCCGCCAGCGAAATTCACACGTATTAAAAATTAAAATGCAAACATAGTTTGTCATATCGCGGAATTGGTATCAACGAGGTACAAAAAAAAACGCAAAAGAGCACGAACGACGACAAATGGAAATGGGAAACAGGCCAGGCCGGGGCGAGCCAAGCCGGGCCCAAAGGAGAGCCCCCAATGCTGCTGGCCTGGCCAAGAAACAAACGGACCCGACCATGAACTATCTCCCTCCCGGCCGGCCAAGACTCCTCACTGGCTGAGGTCCGTAATAAAATATGAAGATGGAATCAAATGAAAAATTGCCTCAGAGCACACACACTCGCAGACACTCGCTGAGCAAACAAGAAACATTTGCATTTATATGGCAAACCCTGTAAACTCCTATCCTGCACCCTGTCCCCATGCCACATTCCCCATGCCGCATGCCCCCAAAATAGGCGCAACTTGTAGCTGAGGGAATATTTGTTTATTTATTGCGAGCGAAATGTTTATCAACAAATTGCCATCAATTGTTGTTTTTTGTGCGCCCGACCAGGAGTTGGCTTTTGGTCTCTAAGCCTCTAAGCCTTGGCCTGTCAGGTTGGCAAGCGGCGGGGAAATTGCGTTTTTCCAATTGCCACTTGTAGCAGGAACTGGAGCAAAAACTCCAATGACACGCGCACATGCAAAGAGGGGTACACTTTGGGGTTCTACAAAAAGGGGGGCAACCATGTCATGCGACTGATCGTGGGAGACTTAACGCAATTTTTTGGGGGATTAAAGGAAATACTATCCTATTACTTGTAAGGCTTAGATCTTAGTTTAGCACCGGTTTCTCCATAAAAAGACTTATATTTTCTTATAAATAAAGCACAAGTATCTAATAACTCACAACACCTATAAGAATTTCAATTTAAAGAAACCCTCAAAGTCTTAAAAAACCTCCTTAAACTTGAAAATAAATTAGACCTTTAAGCAATTGAAAAACGTTAAAAATATATCAAAACAAGTGGAAATTGGTTGGCCAACCAGAAGCCCAAAAACTCGAGGCACAGATGGGCACTTTTTCCCGCTAGCCTTTGTTATGTTTTATAGCTCCAATTGGCCCACGGCCGATTCTTGGCCATAATTCTTGCGGGCCACAAACAATTTGGCACTTTACAAAGTAGGAGAAAGCACTCTCAACACATTCACTTTTCAGGTCCCTCGACTCCTCGCGGACAATCCAATTCCAATAAGCAAATCCCCCAGGGTGGTGGCGGTGGGGGTAGTAGCAGTAGGTCTTATAAGAATGCCATGCCAATTGGCTTAGTTCGTTCAGGCCGGGTTCCTTATTTTCCTGTAGTAGGTGCCTTGTTTGGCTGTAAAACATGCTAATCTGATTTCGTGTTATGTGTTGAGTTGGAGGTGAGTTTTGGCCCGGCTTTTGGGTCTCTGGGCCTCTCGGCATTCGGCACTCGGCCTCTGAGTAGGAAATAAATTTCCTACGTTTAGGTTTCATAAAGCGTCGTCAGGTCGGATCGGTGGTGGGGTTTTGTTGTTGTTATTATTGTTGCCGTTTGTTACTGACTGCCTTGCTGGCTGGCCGACTGGATGGCTGTCTGCCTGCCTGGCTGCCTGGGATTAATCGACAAATAAAAATCACATAAAATAAATTAAAAATTATGAGTTTCAAGTTTCAACAACCTGTGGATTGGCAGCAGATTTAGTTTGATTTTAAATCACATCGAGACAGGCAGAGAGTGTGGGCCAGCCAGCGATTCAGGGCCCAAAACACGTTGCAGATGAGCGACGCCGTGAAATTTATGCAGACAATGTGCAATATTAAAAAGCCATAAACATTTATTTTACAACAGACAAGCGACACATTCTAACCGCCAGCCACTGAGCTCTCCCCTCGCTGACTGAATCTCTATACGGGTTAACTGGCCAAGATCTCTTGTCTATACGTCTATACTAATTTTTTCCAACAGATCCAATCAAGAGTACTCCAACAGAACTTGTTGAATGTCATGTTAAGCTCGGTCTTAGACTTTGATTTGTGAGTTCACTTTAATTTGGCTAATAAAAGCGAAATCTTGCTAGTAAGGGGGCTGCTTTAAAAGTTTTCCTAATCTATATTATAACTTCCAGTTCCTGTTCAATCAGCCCTCTCAAAACCTGTTTCCAATTTTAATTCTCAAGGAAAATTAAACGTTTATTTGATATCTTGCCCAAAAAGCGCTCAACAAAAAGATTTAAAGACACAATTAGATTGGCCATTAAGTGAAAGTGTTATAAATTAGATACCAGTTCAACACAATTTTTAATTAAATATGCACAAATATAAATAACTTGTCTTTGTCATACTATGTATTTGTTTTTTTTCTTCAAAACCATTTTGTACGACTAGCTATGTTATTGATGGCATGCGAATATTGATGAGTTTTTTCGACTGCACAGAGCCAATTTATTATAATTAGTTGGTATATTTTCCAAAAATAAAAGTTCCCCCATTTCGGCAGAAGTGCAACAAGTTGATTTCAAGACAAATAGACGTCTGAAATAAAAAAAATAACCATAAATACCCGCAAAACTTCACCAGTCATCATCCACAATAGTGGATGCTGTTGATTTTGTATGTGATTAATTATGGCGATTGCTGTTCTGTTTGTTGTTTGATGTTGTTTGGTTGTTAACCTTAACGCGCAGCAAAAATAGCAAGTAGAATTTATAATTTTTCATACCCCGATGATGCAATGAAAAAATATTATATATACATAATAATAAGATGCTTTGTTATATGGCTTATTAAGCTCACCATCGCACAGAAGAGGCACCGAGCAAAAAAAAAATTAAATAAAATTATTAAAATTCATTTAAGGCACGTTTACTCCAGTTTCGAGCTTGGGTTGCCTCGCTCGGAGCTGTTAAGAGCTAAGTGCCATTAAGACCAAGTCCAAACTCGGTTTTAGTTTCTGTTTATTTTCAGTTTTTTTTTTGCTGCTGCTAGTGCTTCTTTTTGGCAGGCAAAAAAATTTGAAAAAAATTATGATAATTGCCTGACCTTGACTGGCGTGTACTAATACTAATTCAAATTTGCACATCCCCCACACCACCCTCTCCTCTGCCCCCTTCGTTGGCCAGTTCGAGCCACAACATTGTTCGCATGCAATTATAAAAAAGCGCAGGCAAGAGGCAAAAACATAATTTAATTAAAATGAAATCATGCACAAAGCAATTGCCTCGCTTTGTTCATTGTGCGCCACAGCAAATTGTTCTAGTTTTTTAAGTTTTTTTCGCCTTTTTTTTTTACTATTTTTGTTTTTTATTCATGACTCGTCGACAATGAAGAAGAAGACAGTGTTGCTGCTGCCTTGTGGCGCATTGATGAGCGGATAAAAATGTAAAAAACAAACGCCTGTTCGGTGCGATTAGCTAAACTCGGCTTAAACAGACTGCACCTACAAGCCAGACTTAAACAGTAGTTAGTACAGGTCGTGCCGTCGGAATTCCTATTAACATTTTACTTTTCTAAATTATCAGACTAAAACTTAATAGAGCCCGGCAACTACTACTGCTCATTTAGACAACTAACGAAACCCTCCGGCTATATGGTTTTCATTTTATTTGAATTTTGCATAGCATTATAATCTTTGACATTAATAGATCTACAGAAGTTTTACACCGCGTTTTAATGAGTAGTTAAAATTTTATAATAATTATGAATATCCGTCATCTGTTGTGGACATTTATTTAACATTTAAGACTATTCCTTAAAATATAGACAATATATTTTCTATTTTGTCTCTTCTTACATAGAACTTAGAATTTTTGTAAGCCATTTCGTATGGCGAAAAAATGATCTAGTCTGTGAGACTATTCCTAACCCTCCAGCTAATCGGATGAGATGAGTCATGTCGGCATTGCAAACTCGTTTATTCCCAAGAAGAGGAGTGGAATTTGTCAAAATGGTTATATCGCATGTTTGATATGTTTTCTGGCTTTCTTTTTGAATTTTTTCTCTTGAGCCTAGCCGAGAGTCAGCTGCATTTCTTTTGC